TCAGGCAATACAAATCTCTTCTGTGTTTCATGAAAAATCTTGATCTTCAACCACTTTATCATCTTGTGATATTTTAGGGAAAAAACACAAACAAAATCCAATAACAGAAGACTGTGTAAGTTTGTCTTGGCTCTGCACTGGAGCAAACTGCTTGCAATTCTGTAAAATATTTATGTCTTTGTTGGGACCAACACAATTCCTTTCTGTTTTTCCTCCTAAGACCTTAACAAGATAGAAGAAAACTATTCTTTAATGTGTAACCAGAAAAGAAAATATACCAGCCTATGCAAATTCTCTACATACCTCTAGGAGAAAAGTCACATAAAAGTCTATTGGAAGGGAAGGTACTTGGCAAAGGGAAATTTCTTTTTGGATGAATGCACACCATCTTGTCAAAGAGCGAATTAGTGAGGAAATCAACATTTAATGACAGGGAAAAAACAAGAAACAACCAATAACTTCAAAGTTATTAAGTTGTGTTTACATTTAATGGCTATATTTCAAACAGATGATGATGGTGTTGATCTCCATTCAGGGAGTTGGAATCCCTACAAGTGTTTCAGGCAACCCCATCCCTGGAAGAGTTCAGCGTCAGGCTGGATGGATCTTTCAGCAACCTGGTCTAGTGGGAAGCGTCCCTGCCCACGGCAGAGGGTTGGAACAAGATGATCTTTAAGGCTTCTTCCAGGCCAAACCATGGCATGATTCCATGCTGCTATAAAATGAAAAAGAGCGCGGTGTGACACCAAGCACAAGCTGTGTCTCAGTGGCGGAGGAGCGGCAAGGGTTGCTGGGGAAATGGAGAACTCCGCTGGGGACAGGCCGAGAGACGGTGCCGGGGTTATCCCTCCTTCCCGGTTCCCAGGCAGGATGGGGAGCGGGATCGGGAGCGGGAGCGGGGCGGCCCCGCGGATCCCCGCCCCGGGCGGTGCCTTTGTCGCTGGGTTGGATCCCGGGGAGGCGCAGGAGGAGAGCGCGGAGCGGGTGAAGAGCGGCGGGGCTGCTGGGCGGGCTCAGAGGGTGCCCGAAGTCGCGGCGAGGGTTTGGCTTTATTTGCCGCTTCTTTATTTTTTTCCCGTTTTGTTTTCCACTTGGCTCTTTGGGGGCCCTTGGCAGAAGTGACGGTAGGGAAAGCTGCTCCTGGGGCCGCCCCGGCGGGACCGCCCGGCTGTGCCCCCGCCCGTGCGGGGCCGGGGGCTCCGGGCACCGCCTGGGGAGAGGCGCCGGGAAGTGCCGGGAGCGCCAGGGCTGAGCTGCCCTGGGGATCTGCTGTGTCCTGAGTGCGGAGTTAGCGCCGACCCGCGTGGAGATCGCGGCTGTAGAACAGTAGCGTGCGCCGCTTTCAGCTCGGGTGTTCGGCCGGGCTTTGGCTCTTTGGTTCGGGGGAGGTAATTTTCTTGGATTCTTTTTTACTTACTGTGTGTAGTATGAATTTACGTGTTGCAGACTGGCTTGTATTCCAATCAGAAAGGTGAAGGTTTATGAAAAAGGGGCTTATAAATGCAGGTGTGATTCAGGAGGACCCAGGAAGGGTGGTCCTCGGTGTCAGGAATGGCTGAACATCCTCCAGCTTGTGCCCAGGTGGCCAAGAAAGCCAAGAGCATCCTGGCCTGTATCAGCAAGAATGTGGCCAGCAGGACCTGGGCAGTGATTGTCCTACTGCACTTGGCACTGCTGAGGGCACACCTAAATCCTGTGTCCAGTTCTGGGTCCCTCTCTACAGTATAGACATTGAGGGGCTGGAGTGTGTCCAGAGAAGGGCAGCAGAGCTTGTGAAGGGTCTGGAGCACAAGTTCTATGAGGAGCAGCAGAGGGAACTGGGGTTGTTTAGCCTGCAGAAAAGAAGGGTCAGGGTTGACATTTTTGCTCTCTACAACTGCCTAAAGGAGGTTGTAGCCAGGTAGGGCTGTTCTCTCAAGTAACAAGTCAAGCCAGAAGAGATTTAGATTAGATATCAGGGAAAAATTCTTCACTGAAATGGCGTTCAGGCATCAGAACAGGCTGCCCAGGGAAGTGGTTGAGTCACCATCCCTAAAGATATTTATTAGATATGTGGATGAGACACTTGGGGACATGGTTAGTGGTGGGCTTGGTAGTGCTGGATTAACAGGCTAGATTTTAAAGGCCTTTTTCAACCTAAATGATCCTGTGATCTCTTTTGTCACTGAGAAGTGGTCGTTTAGACTGAGGATACCATACCCTACCGACTTGCTTTTCTGCTGTATGTTCTGTGGTACATCTCGACTTTGATTATCCTGTTCTCATTTTGCACTGCCTTACTAAACCAGCTTGTTTTCTCTTCGGAGGAGCTGTGCAAATTGCATGCAGATTATACTTTCATTTTTGCAGCAGAGAAAGAACCAGATTTCTGTGGTATTTAGTGAGTGAGTTTAAGCTAGCACGGTGCTACCTGCTTAATTGCTAATATGTGCAAGTACCGTTATTCCCACTTCCGTCCTCTGACCTGCTCCAGTTTCAGCAAGTGGTGAAACAAAGGCAAAATATGTGAAACAGGAAGTAATGACATGCTAAGAAAGCTTCTTTGTAGTCACTGAAGTGTGCTTCTTTAAGATTTAATTTCTTTGCTAGTGGAAAAATAATTTTATTAGAAACTGAGGGGGTCTCCTTATGGTAGGAGGAAAAGATGTAATTTTCCTATTGCTATAAAACACTACCAGGTGAAGGGTGCTAGAATTGATTTTGCAGGGGAGAAACAGCGTGAAAATGCTGGTCAGCATTTAAATCTAAGTGCTTTTATGGATAAGTATCTGTATTTGGAATAAAAAAAAATAATTCTTGTACTTTGAAATTTTTTGCCATTTTTGTATAAAAGGTTTTTTCACTTTAACTGTTTGGAACGTGTTGCCTGCCTAGGTGGTGTTCATTTCCCACTCTGCATCAAGACTTTCTGTCCACTGCCGTGGTGCTCTCTTGTCCCCCCTTTGTCCCAGCTAGCTCCGGAGGTGGGGGGGGGGGGGGGGGGGGGGGAGAGCGCGGGCAATTTCCGTCTTTTCCAGCGAGCCCTCGCGGGCGTCGGCCGGTGCTACGTGGGTCTGGGAGCAAAAGGCGAGTCCCGCGGCGAATAAAAGGAGAGAGAAACTTTTCTCCCGCAGGCAGAATCCCGGTTTATTGCGGCTTGGCTGGGAAAGCACAAACCGAAAAGGCTGCAGCGTGCCGCACTGGAGTTTGTTCGTGCCGCCTTGCCGGTCGGGGGCGGGGCAGCGCGCTCCGGAGCTGGCCGCGAGCCAGGAGAGGCGGAGCGCGGGGTCGCGGCGCTGTGGCCGACACGCGCGAGTGCCGCGGCGGCAGCGGCCGTGGCGGCTGAGCGGAGCGGAGCGGCCGCGGAGCAGCCGCGGGGGCCGGCAGAGAGAAAGACCGCGGCGGGAGCGGCAGCGGCGGTGGCGGGACGGCAGCAGCACGCAGGGGCCGGGCGGGAGAAAAGCCCGGGGCATCCCCAGCCCGCGGGTTAAGTACCGAACAGGGGAAACCCGGGGCGGCCAATGGGATAACGCCACGGGGGGTCTGGGGTCAGTGTGGTGCAGGGATAAGCCCAATGGGGGATGGACAGGTGGAGGGTCCCAGATTGTCTGCCGAGCCGGCCGCGTGACTGACAGATGGTCTGAGAGATGTAAACACAGTGACTTGGCACTTTCCCGGGAAGGCAAACCGCGGGGGGAGATGGGAAAACCCGGGGGGTCGCTACAGAGTGCGGGGGGGGGGGGGGTACATCGAATGAACTTATACATAATAAAACATATAATAACACAATTCCACAGTCCACCTTTTTTCTTAGATACAGTTTCCAGTTGAGTCATCACATCTTATCTACCAAGGATCAGACAACAAACATGAAAGGGTTTTTCAAAAATGTATGCAGTTTTTCTTAAGCTTAATGTTTGAAAAGGCTTGAGCTTGCATGACTACCCAGGCAAATTAGTTTGAGATTTCAGAAATACTTCTGCTGAACCTCCTGACCCCACACAGCTGAATTGTGGAGTCACAGTGCCAAACTGTCCTAGGAGAGATGATTATGGTTATAATTTACTTGTTCTAAAAACATAGGGAATAACCAGTGCTCAGGAATCAAAATGTAATATAATTACACTGCTTTAATTACACTTGCATAACTAAATTTGGGTGTGATTAGAATGGTATAAAGTTTACCTTAAGGAGCTTCTTAATCTCCTCTTGTTTTAGGGTGTGAAATTATATTTTTAATTACCTTTGCGCTGCCTAATGGCATTTTGATGGCAGTCTGACTACTTAAAGAGTTATAGTACTCTTTAAAGTGAAACAGTAATCTGAGTTGCTGTCTGACATCTGGCCCTGAATCAGTTTTCTGCTAAGATGGAATTTGGGTAGGCCCAGTGAACACAGGGCATCCTTTCCTTCCTCTGGGCTGATGCAGCTGGCCTGGTGCCAGCATGTAGCAGCAACAGGGAACTCTGCCTATGTGCTCCATTGCTGGGATTTCCAGCATAGCAGATGCCAGTTCCTCAGTGCATGGTTGCAGTGCTCTGGATCAGAATATAATGCTGTACCTTTCAGAAAGACAGAGAAACAGCTACTAATTACTGGAAAGGTCAGAGTTTCATAGATACAAAACGTGTTCCACTTCTTCAGCTGCAGCAATGTAAAAGCAGTCACTGGCAGTTTTAAGAGGGGAGTTTGTTGATAGGGATCTTGTACCAATTCTGAGGTGTTAGAGTTTGGTTTGTATATTACAAAAGTGGATTTGATGAAAAGTTTGGGTTTTTTTCCCCAAAACAATATAACTCACGATTGGACTATCTGTTGCCTGATAACATAAAAGCATAACAAAAAAACTGTAAGAGTTGTATCCCAGCATAAATGAGGACAAAAAGGAAATAAGGGGACTACTGTCCACTTCTTGAGAGGGCTCCAGTGAAGGCAAACATAAAATACTTCAAAACTTCTACAGCTTTCTTCATTAATTTTCTGAGAAATTTGGAAGTCAGCATCTCTTTGTTTTTTATTTTCAGCCTTATGCTGTGCTTGTAGTTTCTTCCTATTTTTTCTCTGCTCTGCACACTATGCATTTTGGCATCCTTAAGATCCAGACCCAAGTGCTTGAGATTTCTCTGCAGCCTATGGAACTTCTCAGCAGAGAGAGGAAGTGCGTGTCTCTAGCTCCCGTCCCCATGACACCAGTGAGGACAGATCCCACCATGTACCTGTGCAGAGGGATGTGTCAAGCAAGGCAACTTGTACTGCCCACACTTTTCTTTCAACAAACATTGCTGTAGAGTGAGCAGAATATGTGAGTTGTCTTACTTGAGCCATATTCTGTGATGGTGCAGGGTTAAAGGCGTGGCAAGATGTGGCTCTATATGTTCAGTGTGTGGTCCTTTCACTAGTTCTACTTCAGCAGGACCCCATCTCAGGTGCCTTGTCCATACCTAATATGTTACTGAGGTTTTCCACATATTTGAAGTGTTCAGCATTTATGTTTCCAGGGCAGGGTAGTCATGTTGGGTAAATGATGCTATGAAAGTGAGAAATGTGTGCCTTAGCATTAAACTAGTGCCTTGATACGATGTGGTGCCCCTGAGGCTTTGACCAACATCAAGTCTGCCTTTGTGCAGCAAAGCAGCATCAAGGCAAGGTGCTTGGCACTGCCTGAAGGTCAGCTGCCACCAAGAAACCAAAGAATGGCTTGGGTTGGAATGGACCTTGCAGTCCATCTGGTTCCAACCCCCTGCCATACACAGGGACACCTTTCACTAGACCAGGTTGCTCAAAACTCTATCCAACCTGGTCTTAAACACTTTACAGGGTGGGACATCCACAGCTTCTTTGGGCAGCCTGTTCCAGTCCCTCACCAGCCTCACAGTGAAGAATTTCTATCTAATATCTAACCTAAGCATGCTCTCTTTCAGTCATCGCCCCTTGTAATGTTACTGAATGCCTTTGTAAAAAGTCCCTGTCCATCTTTCCTGTAGGCCCCTTTAGGTACTGGAATTGCCTCCCTCAAATGATCAGCAAGGTTTTAATTGCCAAGTTTGTGCAAAATCAGTCTTTTGCAAACTTAAATACTTGGCTCAAGTTTGTTTGTATGACAAAGAGAAGCCCTACCCGTTTTCCCCAGTTTTGCTCTGAGCACAGCACCATGCCAGGGGCTTGTTTGTGAGCAGCTTGGAGATATGTTTATTGTCCTTCAATTGTGGTTTCATTTTGGGTCATTTCCTGCACATGAATTTCAGCTGTGACATTCTTGCCAAAGGCCAAAGCCTTAAAAACAGGGGTTTTCATAGAAATGAAGAATTTTAAAAATTATAATGCTGGGTTCCATGTCAGAAAGTATCCAGGACCCTGTATTTCATTTTCTTACTTTACAAGTGAAAGTAAGTCTTGCCTCTGCCAAGTGCTAGCCCCTCAAAAAGTGCTCAATATGCAAGGTCACACTTAAGTGCATTTTACAGGAGTGCATGGTTTGTATTTTGTTTAGTCCTTGCCACATAATTGTCTGGTTTTGGCAGTTTGAGCAAATGCAGAAGTGTCAGGGAGCTGTGGTCTCTTGATCCCTGCAATTGATGTCTGGAGTGCTTCATGTGAAACTTCTCTTGCATCCAAATGTCTGTAAAAATACCAACTGTGCATTAGCAATGACAATAATGACAGTGATATTATTATGCATAATACTACTACTACTAATAATAATGTGCTTTTACAAGTGGAAAGCTCTTGCACAGAATATTCTGAGTTCTTGAATCACATTTTTCTGAAATGTTTCTGTTAGCTCTGACATTGGTATTACACTGAGCGGTAACTTAAATTTCAGTTACTATCTTGATGCAGTCAATTTTACCTTTCAGTATGCTTTTTTTTGTGTGTAATATTTTAGGCCAGAAGTGCCTGGTAATGCACTTTCATAAAAAGGCAGAGGACTCCTGTGTGCTTGAGCTAACTAAAATATGCCAGTTTAGAGCAGAGTTTAAACAGTCCAGCTACTTCCATACAAATACCATGAGCTCTGCAGTGTAAATCTGAAGTTTTGGCTTTGACTGGACACTGAGAGGCAGAAGGGAAGAGCTGCAAGACCAATTTCTTCCATTTGCATTCAGAGTGATGGCTTTGATATTTTGCTTTCTTTGGCATTGCTCTGTGCTTCTAATCAATCTTGAAAGAGGGCAAGACGCAAGTAAAACACTGCTGGAATAACCTCTGCACATACCTGCTGAGGAAGCAGAGGCTTTGTGATCTGGTGCACCACCAGGAGATATTAATCATTTGTGATTATTACTCATAAATTATATGTAATTAATAATCCATGTGAAAAATACACAGCTCTGCACCGTCTGCACACAGAATCAGGTACACTCAGGAGAGGGCCATGAAGATAGAAATAAAATCTGTGTGGGGTGTCAGCCAGACCTGTACAGAGATGGGAATGATAAGTAACACGGATGTAGTTTGGTGAGACAGGGCTGGCTTTCTCCTTGCTTGAGTAGACAAGCTCAGAAGAGTTGATTTTTCTGTTTGTCTTGGGTTACTTGATCCTGCTGTTGTCCTGGATATCAGTTGGGGTAAGTTTTTATCAAGAGGTAGCTTAAAATTCATTGGACTGTCCTGCATTGCGTGCTTACAAAGCATCCAGGCAGAGCCGGGGGCACTTCCTGAAGAGGGGAACTCCAGGAGTGGGGCAGCTGCCACTGGACCTCTGCCTGGAGAGAGCAGGAGGAATGCTGCTTGTGGTATTCCCTGCCACCTAATGACTGTGCATCCTTGGAGGGTGGGGTGCTTGGTGCAAGTCTTGTTCTGTTTAGTAAACAAGATTTAAAAATCAGGAGAAGAAAAATTATTGTTATTGCTAAGTAAGACTTCTTTTTTTCCCCAACTAGGTTTCAGTTATCTTCACATATCAACATAAAAACCCAAGGTATTTGTACAGGAGGAAACTATTTCCTTTAATATATCCATTTGGATTCAGCGTGGCAGAAAAAAAAGAAAAGCATTTTGACAATTGTGAAACAACCATGAGTGGCATTAGGGGTGACTCAACATGCAGCTCTGCAGCAGGCACAATAAGAATTCTTAGAGTGGGCTACTTTCAAATAATAGATTTAGTGCATTTACGTAAGTTCTGTTTGAAATGTATAGGCATTAAATAGCAATTCTGAATGGGAACAGAATTTTTTCCACATTAAGAAAAAAACAGTAGCAGAGATTTCAGAGGCTGCTTCTTTAAATGAAGGTTATTTTATGTTTTAATTTTTTTAATAGGAATAAGAGTTTTAGGGAGATTCATGTTTCATTAATGACATGAAATGCTTTTCATGTGTTTCTCGTCCAGTATTCTGGACTGTCAATTCTCAGAAGGTTTCTGTCATGCTTTTTCTTACTTAAATGGAAGTGGGGCTAAGCATTATTCATCTTGGATGAAGCACCCTGTGCCTTAACAAGGAAGCTGGATTATACAGGAAATGAAGAACTGAACTTTCCTTTTGTTCTTGTAGGCATTTGTAGAGAGAAAATGGCATGTGTAGGCTAAGGAATGCATTCATATCTTGATTATATAGCTGAAATTGGTTTTGTAAAGGTAATTGTAGTAGGGTATATTTTAGATAATCACCCAGTAGGTAAGAACACATTATGGTTGTTGCTGCACAGTAAGAATAACTTCTGTCACACATGGATAGATACATTAACATCAGCAGTTCCTGTTGGTGATCAGGGAGTCTGAAGAAGACTGCCAGCTCTATAGTCTCCACATTTTCTGAAAAAAGACTGAGGGAGCTAAGAGGGCACTTGGGACAGCCCTATGTGGAAGAGTTGTGTAAATAAAACCTTTCTTGCAACTGATGGGCCTCAGTGTTACCAAAACTATTCTGTTTTCTAGATAATTGTGTGATTCTACTTGTGGTTTGGGGCTGGCATTCTCATTTGTTTTTTGGGTTTTTTGAGTAGAGGGTATCTGATCAGCAGACGTGGTTGAACTTTTGATAAGTCACTGACAATTACCTTATTTGTCTGGAAATTATTTTCTTTTTCTTATTATACCAAGGTGAGATCCTCATCTCCTATTTGTTAGAACATGAATGTTGCTTAACAAGTTGACATTGCTTTACTCTGTAAATGAAGGGTTTGTAATGAACTAATTATTAAGCAGTGCTTTTCACATATCTTGGTACATGTTTGATCTGTTTTCAGTAATTTTTTTTTTTTTTTGTGTGGTGCTGATAATAAACTGGGAAATCAAAGAATTTGTGATCTCTTGGCATCACTTAAAAAGGCATATTTCCCTCTTCTAAACACTAATGGGATGCAATCTTGTGTAGGTATTGAATTAATATATTTAATCATTTTTCTGTGTCTCCCTCTTGGTTCATTCAGTTGAGGTCTATGTACACGTGCATCATGCTTGAGCCTGCTCTTTAAGGGTAAGTTTGTTTTCCCTTAAAAGAGGGGTTTTGCCTTTTCTGTAACATACCTTGGTGCTGATGGTGTATAATCTGAAAAATAGCAATGTGCAACGACATGAAGAGAACTGCATGCACACCTTGAACACAGGCAGACTTGGTCCTCCATGCCAAGCTTTGCATGTCTCAGTTGAGGGATCTCCCTTCCTAGCTCTGCATCCAACAGAGGAAGAAGGAGTGGTTCAGGTGGGACACCATAAGGACTGGCACAGTGGAGTCCCACATTCTGCCTCCCTCTTTGAATGAGGGTATACCTGCTTTTTGGGAACAAGGAACATAATTTTGTGTGATGGGAGTATGAAACCTAACCACTTTATGGTGACAAGTGCTATGTCCTGCTTTCAGTACCAAAAAGATGGTGAAGAGGAATGTCCCAAAAAGAAATAATTCTGTCAGGTTTTAATTTGGGAAGACGTTCTGTTATCTTTCTGATGGCATTGTTAATGGTATGGAGAAAAACAGTAAAGGGTGACTGAACGATCAGGCATGCTGGAATATTCAGTAATGCATATACAGTGCTGTCTGCTAGTTACCAAGCTGATCTCTGACATTTTGCATTTCATTGATTATGCATATTTAAGGTGGCAGCCTCCAAAAAGATTGTGAGGGAGTCAAATGTGACACAAATCCTTTAGAGATTCTTCCTGAGTTACTTGAGAATGAAACAGATGCTGCAGACGTCCCTTACTTATCTTTTTTTCTGGCCTTTTTTGTTGTTTCTGTTTTCTTCTGTGTGTCTCTCCTGCTGACTAGCAGGAAGCTGATGTGGCATGAAAAGAAAACATGGTGTACTACTTGCTCTGTAAACTCTGCTATCAGTTCCTGATCTACTCCAGCACTGTTCAGCCTCTGTTCTTCCAAATTTCTGCATGGCAAAGAGTCAGGCCTCCCTGTCATGCTGATGCTCGCAGTCAGTCTTCAAGAAGATGGAAGCCCAGCAGCTGGTCACAGCACCAACTGCTCCTGTCACTGCCTCCTGAGGAGCAGGATGACTTGTGCCCATATCCCAGGGAATGGATTTGGTTTAAAAATCTGTGGGTTTATTTTATTCCCTCCACTAATGTGTTATTAATTTAATTGCTCGTTGGTTTCTGAAAACTTCTGAAAGGTGCAGGTAGGGGGGTGGCAAGATCTATTTTAAGCTGCTGCCTTTTTTAATTTATGCTCATGAAGCATTTTTACCAGCAGCACTTTGTGATCCAACTGCTACTTCTAAATGTCATTTACTTGCATAAAAAATTTAATTAATTCCTAAGTGTGACATAAGCACCGAAAGTATTAACTGCATCACAAAGTGCTGTTCAAACAGCAACTTTCCCTTGACAGAAGGGAAAGTTCATGAAGTATGCTGCAATGGAAGTGTAGCAAAAATACTCAAAATCACTTGTTTGCAGGTTTTTCCCATCGCCTATTAGGCTTTCTACTAGGGAAATACCCATATTAAATATAAATAGGTGAACACTATTTGGTTATCTCATGTTCTCTGACACTGATCTGTGCTTCTGATGGAAACCAGTAAGCCTATGCTTCCCAGCACTCCTTGAAGAACAGTTGCTCAAGCACCTCTTAACCATATGCATTGAAAGAGAGATTGTTGAACTCCAGTTGCCTGAGGTTTTTTCAGGGTTGTTACCGTCAAAAACTTTTTCAAAATATTGCTTGATTCAGTTTTAAAACTGATGTGGAGCTCTCATCTTTCTGCCTGTAAAAAGGGGTAAGGGAAGAAATTTTGCATTCACGTGTATTTCTGGTTCTTCATAATGCAGAATATGTCATTTTAACAGATGGAACAGCTCTTGATTTTTTTATAAAGCCCGTTTGTTCAAAATCAAATGTGGGAGTGGACCATACAGTTCTTTTAAGTGATGAAATTGAAGTCTGCTGCAACTTTCCTTCGATACTTTATATTTAAATTAGTGTTAATTTCAATCATCATTGGTTTTCATACAACGGTGTAAATCCAGAATACCCACTGATCCATAGGCTGCACATCTGTGAGACATCAGGTTCCCTTCTAGTGGACAGAAGATTCAGTTATTCAAAGTCCACTGAGTTTTTTTTTTCCCAATGTTGATGCCTTTGTCCTAAAGAAGAGAGAGAAAAAATTGCATTTACTTGATTCTGCTGGGATTGTCATTTCTCTAGGTAGAAGTTTGTGTGCTTATTGGGAATATGCCTACCAGTGTTCCTCAGGAGGAAGTGGGAGTGTGTTTATATGTGCGTGTGAGCTGTAAGTGGGAATGTCTGGTTTTCCTATGAAGTTTTCCATTTCCAAACCTTACAGCTGATGTTTTGTTGTCTGTTACTTGGCATCAGTAATAAATGTTTTCTGGACCTTCAGAACTAGCACCCCAACCCCACCTCTGATTACTTAAAATTTATGGACACTTTTTCATTTACAGCTCTTAACCTGTGCTTAGTTTACAGGAGAGACAAAGTCTGGGTCTCACCACCAGATGACTTCCATACAAAATCTTGTAATAAAACTTCTTCAAACAGCAGAACATTGGGAAAGGCCAAGTATCACCAGTGCTCTGTATACATGCAACAGTGATTGTAAAAATGAGTGCATCGCTGTTTATCTTGTTGCTAAGGTTAAAATTGATACATAATTCTTTGACTGGATTGTTGTCCACAGTGCATGGGCTTAATTTACTAGGAAAACTTAATCCCCTCTTAAATTTCCTGTTAAAGCCAGGAGGGGCAGAAGTTTAGCTGACATAAAATTATGTGGAATGAGTAATCCCCTCTGCAGACTCCCTGGAGAAGGATCTTTTCAGCTTTCTCTGTGGATGCCTCTATAAAAAGTTGAGTTCTTTTAAAGGTTTGTACTAAATCAACAAATAAGTTAATAACAGAGCAGCTGTTCATCATGAGCTCTGGGAATTTCCTATATTCAAATTTCTTCCAGAGGACAAATTTCTCACTTAGGGAGCAGATACGGCCTTCGTCAACTGTTCAGTCTCCAGGTCGTCTCCTCACTTGTAGGTCTCCTTATCAACAGACAACAATAACCTTCCCTAATCTTATCAGTAATGCCAGGGGAGCAACAGAATCTTGTCCTTGTTAATGTCTGTGAAATGAGCATGTGATGATGACCTGAGCTTTCTGCCTAATCCCTGGGGAGGATCTTTCTCTGGAGTTTTAAATTGATCCTAAACCTACCCAGATTGAGGCAGGAACATTCTTTTAATTCCCCATGCAGTCATGCTTAGTCAGCTAATATTGCCCTATATGGCCCATTTGTTGATTACAAGTAAGTCCTATGAACCTCTGGTATTTAAAGCCATGACTTAGAAACAAAATAATGACAGTACAGGTCTGTAGATCAGCACATCCTGAAATAAAAAAAAAATTGGGTTTTTTGTGTTATTGAGCAGTACATACCAGTCTTCCTGTGACTCCATTGTAATTATATATGTAGCCTTCACTGTGTGCAAGATAAAGTAGAAATGTGAACTGTGTGCGCCCAAGCCCCTAGAAACTTGAAAAAACTAAGTACATAAATTATGTGCATTAAGTAAAGTATATTAATCTTTTGCATGTAATGTTTTGTGTTTCATTTGAAGTGATACCATGTTTGGATGATCTTTCTTTTTGCAAGAAAACCAACAGAAACAAGTACTTTATAATAGTGATAAGATTTTTCCCTCTCTCTTTTGATCCCTCTTTTAGGAAGGCCTGAGGTGTGGTCCTGGAAAACAGCCAGCAAGGAATCCCTGTGTCTCGTGTGGCAAAAAGTGAAAGTGCAGCTAATGTTAAGCATGTCCTTCCTCACCGTTCTTTTTTGGTATTGTAGAAGGCTGTACAGCTTTTTGGCACAGCTGCTGAAACGGTAGGTTTTTATTATGCAGACTTCAGTCTTCAATACTGTTGCTTATTTCAGTAAATACTGACCTTGAACATCTGTTCTATCATTTATGTTTCAGGTGGAGCAACTACCTTCAGAGGCAACTCATAAGTAAGCTTTATGTTGTCACTCCACATTCATTAATGACCCTCATAACTTCCCTTTAGTTGCAGAACAGCAGAATGTAACTAATCTGTGAATCAATGTCAATTTAGGGAATCTCAGTGTGCTGCCAGAAGTTGATCTACTTGGTTATAGTGCAAGAGAATGGAAAGGAGAAACAAAGCAGGCCAAGCAGATGAGGGAGGTAAGAGTTAAATTTTAATCTCTGCATGAGGACAGGGGAGAACCAGCACCCGGGAAAGGAGTAACACTTTCAGTGCGAACAGCTGCAGCAGCTATCAAAGCCTGCTGCACTGGCCAATCAAATGAAAAGCAAAGGGGAGAGCATGAACAGGCATCTAAATAGAGTGCAGCAGTGCAGGTTAAAATGTAGATCAGGTTTTAGTCTTGTACATATTCTAAATTCCCTCTTCTAACCAGCAGCCCACACAGCGACCTTAAAAAGAAAAATCGTCCCCAGTGCTAAAGCCCAAATAATATGGTCTTAGGTGTTGTCACTTGGCCAGCCTTTGATTTAAGGTAAAGACTCTTACTTCAGAGAGGAAGGAAGTACCATATCTATTTTTCTTCCAAGCTCTGAAGGTCCATGCTTGGCAGCCTTCCCCTCTCCAGCATCATCAGCTGCAGCTGGCAGCAGGCAGAGCAGGAGCTGGCATCTAACCTGGGGCAGCTTGGGTGCTGCCCAGCAGGCAGGGAGCTGGGGTGCTGGATGGTGGCCATCCCATGCCTTTGGGCACAGTCCCTCTGCTCCAGCTCTGCATCCCAGCCCAGCTGCTTCTGTCTGGTGCTGTCTTCTCCTGGACAGGGCGCAGCTGGCAAGACAGGCAGTTCAGCTGCTCCGGTGTATTTGACATGCATTGGCTTTAGGTCACGGTGTCGGAATCCTCAGAGCAAATGCATAACAGGAAGGACTTAAAGGGTAAAAAGAAGCTGGTATGGATAAACAGTAGCATAAAGGGGTTGTAGAAAAAATAAGATAGTTTTCAAAAAGCTGAAATTCAAGCATTCAAGTGATGAACAGAGAAAAGATTCAGTTTTGCCACGTTAAATGCAGGAACACAGCAGTACGAAGAGTTCACAGAACAACACACAAGGCCAAAAACTATTTGGAGGAACAAGTAACAAAAGATAACAAAACTTCTAATAAATTTGCAAGCCCATACACATACTGAAATGCAAAAAGCATTTCAGAAAATCTATGAGCCTTCTGGATGACCAGACCCGAAAAGGAGACTCTTGTATATGGAGCAGTCAGTGGCTGTCTGGTTGCATCATGTAGAAGTTGCCATGGTAAGGAGTACATTTTAGGATGAGGTCTTGTGAGATCCAGCATATCATGCTTGCTGTCCTCAAAAGGAACATGTTTGTCATGTCTCTCCCTCTTTCTCGCTTTGTCCTAGCTAAGCAGTCCCTCTCCCTCTTCTGTGCTGGCTCCTGTCCTCTTTTGGGTGTGGTGCACTTAGATGGTGAGCTGATAAAGCAGGTCATCTAGAAAGAGGCTTCTCTGAGGCCCTCAAGCTTGCTGAAACAGCAGGAAACACCCTCAGCAGAAAGAGTTTAAGGCTTGCTATCTCAGCTGATAATAAGGGTAAGGAGACAGAGTGCAGCTGAGAAGTGGTGGTGGGATGGGAGTAACCAAGACAGAGGATGAGGAATTGAGACCATCCTGCTGCCCCCTTCAGGAAGCAAACTGGAAGTGATGGAGTAGCCTGTGGGACTGTAGAGTCCTCTCCCTAATTCTCTGCCAGTTTATTGCTCAGAATTGCTTCAACAAGGCCTCAGATGGCAGCCAGTGGTAATGCAGAGTGTGTGGCTGGACCAAGGGCTGTCCACTTCAGCACAGTGCTGCCAGATCTGCTCTGCCTCAGGTCAGTGTTGCACAATGGATTCAGGTCAATGTAAGGAGATGGTGTTTGCCAAAAGGAGTTTTCTCCAGATACTGGTTCCTGCCCTTTTGCTGCTGCATCTCACATATCAGTGCAAACTGTAAAACGGTTGAGGTTAATGCTGTTACGCACAGAAATCTGTGCTGATCTGCTCTAGTTTTGTTGATCATGTGGATGCTTACAGTAGCAACAGTGCAGAGACTTGAACGAGTTGCTGGGTTTGGAAGGAATGCAGCATCACTCTTAATGGGCAGCACCAGTCTAAGGTGTTTACAAAAAACATGCTGTTTAACATTTCTGTGTATATAAATCTTAAAAATATACTCTCTTGTTCTCCTAGCTCCCTCTTATGAGTAGTTTGGAATTGGACTTTAAACAACATGGGTGTTTTTTCCAAAGTTTAATATTTTTTATTGCTAATTTTTCTTGGTCTCTTTCTAGGCATATGAAGAATTGTTCAGGAGCTATCATATCAAGTACCTGAGACAAGTCAGGAGAGACAACTACAGTGTAATAAGAGCGGTGCTTTTTCAGATATTCAGCCAAGGCATTCCTTTCCCTTCGTGGATGAAGGAAAGAGATATATTGAAGGTAAATTCATTCCATAAATGAACACATTGTAGCTATCCATGCACAGCAGAAGGAAGCCTTGTTCAGTGTGAAAAGGGATATGTTGGCTGTTGAAGTGAAGAATCATTATCGGAATTTAAAGATAAGTTTTTCAAACTCATTGAAATACATTTAATTGAAAAACTGTCCCTGATCTAAATATACCAATGTGAACATGAGTCTAAATTATGTAAAAAAAAAAAAAAGTAAAAGTGAATGGATGAATGTTACTGTCATCCTACTAGATGTCACTCCCTTAACACAACGGGTTATTTGCATCCTCCCCATCCACATCCATGCAGAGTTCAGTGGCTCACTTGGGAGCTACTGTGTTGCTGGAACAGCACGTATCCTGCCCTGAACTCCAGGAGCTTTGGCAGGACATAGTTGCAGGGAGGTGGGATCTATAGTGCCTGCCTGTAGAGGAGCATGTACAGACTGGAAGGTGTCTGTAATCCTAAATACCTCGCTGAATTTGGAAGTATCCAGCTTTTCCAGAGTGTGGGTTATATATTTTGCTGAGAGCATATTTTCATCTTTTTTTTTTTTTTGGCTGGCCCTGTTTTAAAAGTTTCTTAAGGACTTGGCAGTTAAGTGGATTCTCCTTCATTAGCATTTGAATTGTGAGGTCCATTTACTTTGTTGTTTAAACTGTACAAAAAGCTGATAGAACCACATCATAAATTGTATGTAGACAAGTTTATATAACTTTATACTCTGCTTCTTGTTATGGTTATGATTAGCTTGCCTTTTGTTTTTTTCCCAGCTCCCTGAAAAGCTTTTGTATTCTCAAGGTTGTAACTGGATTCAACAATACAGTTTTGGGCCAGAAAGATACACGGGTCCCAATGCCTTTGGGAAGTTGCGCAAATGTATGGAGGCCTTAAAGACAAACGTGAGTATCTGGGAAATGGTTGGGAGGAATAAAAACCTTGAGAAATGGGTTCAGACAGAGTTAAGGAACTTCTGGTTGCATATCTGTGGGGCAGCCAGCCTCCCTTCCAGGTTCAGACTGCTGAGTTGCTGGGAAGGCCATCACCTCTTCTGCAGGGCAATCCAGGTTTTGGTGATCTACTAGGCCAAGAACTCAGGAGTTCCCTGCAAGTTAGGGAGGCCACTGTCCCCACAGCTAGTCCTTGCCATCAAGTGGCTCATGAAGTATCTCATAATTTTGATTAAAAATACACATGCTCTATGAGATGCTTCTGGATTCCTCCCCAGCTGGAATGGAGCAAACAAGCAGTTCATTTCATTCTAAAACAATAGTATTTTCTATACTTCTATCCCCATTAAATGTTTTAATTATCCATTTTTCCTATAATTTCTCTCTGTAAGCTTGCACTTGATTACAAAGACCTGTCAGCCTCACTGCCCCCTCTGCTTAGCATTGCCAGATTGCCATAATTCCCAACCCAGGACTATAATTCTTCTTTAATATAAGAATTATATTATAGTATTCTTATTTAATATAATTCATACTTAAAACCTGGGGAGATTTAGTAGCCCCAAAGCCTTTTGAAAGAGAGATAGAGTTGGCCTGTCAAGACCAGGCCAACTTGAGCTCCTCTGGGGTTTCTGCACATCTGCAGTGATAGTAATTGTTAATAAAAAAAAAAAAAAAAACAAACAAAAAAAAACCCCCCAAAAAACCCCAAAACAAAACAAAACATAAAAACCAAAAACAAACAAAAACCCCAAAAAAAACCAAACAAAAAAAATTCAAACCAAACACATTAATTTAAGCTCTAGAAACAAAGCATTAGAAAGAAAAATAAGGGATTAAAATAGATTATTTGGTCCCTTGTCTGCACCCTTGCTGTGCCAAAGTGACAGTTGCATCTTCTTGAGATGGGCCTGGTAGTTGTTATGTGCAGTTATCATTTTGTTCTGGTTGCTCTTTGTATTTCCCAGTGTTGGGTTATTTGGCTTTCATTTTTAGCTTGGTGTAGTTCTTTTAGCTGATGTTAGTGCACGAAGCATTTAACCTGCATTTTTAAGAAAAAAATTCAAGTTAAAAGAATGAATAAGTCTTTACAATTAAGAAATTTTTCAAAGCAACTCTGTGATGCCTTATGCTATTACTGGGCATAAGGTATAGCTCCGAGCTTCATTTTTTTTTTTTTTTCTTATAAAGATGATTGGCCAGTGAGATGGATTTTTGCCTATTTTTACTAACAGGCTTCTTTGCTGCCTTTCCCAGCTCATTGTCATAGAATCATAGAATCATTTAGTTTGGAAAGACCTTTAAGATCATCAAGTCCAACCATTAACCCAGCACTAAACTGTGTCCACAAGTTTACATTATCTCTAGGGACAGTGACTCCAACCACTTCCCTGGACTGCCTGTTCCAATGCTTGACAACACTTTTGATGAATAATTTTCTTCTAGTATCCAATCAAAATCTCCCCTTGCAAAACTTCAGGCCTTTTCCTCTTGTTCTGTGACATGCTAGTTGGGAGAAAAGACCAACCCCCCACCTGGCTACACCCTCCTTGTAGGTAGTTGTAGAGTGTGATAAGATTTCCCCTTCAGCCTTGTTTTCTCCAGGCTAAACACCCCCAGCTCCCTCAGCTGCTCCTCATCAGACTTGTGCTCCAGATCCTTCACCAGCTCTGCTGCCCTTCTGTGGACACACTCCAGCCCCTCAATGTCCTTCTCATAGTGAGGGACAGAAACTGAAGACAGGATTTAAGGTGTGATCTCACCAGTGCTGAGTACAGGGGGACAATCATTGCCCTGCTCCTGCTGGCCACAATACTGCTGGTACAGGCCAGGATGCCCTTGGCCTTCTTGGACAGCTGGGCACATGGTAGATCATGTTCAGCTGCTGTTGACCAGCACTCCTACTTCTCCACTCTTTTCCACGGAGCCACTTTCCAGCCACTTTGCCCCCAGGCTGTAGCATTGCCTGGGGTTGTTGTTACCCAGGCAGGACCTGGCACTTGGCCTTGTTGTACCTCAAACCATTGGCCTTGATTAGAATGGGGGCTGCTGCCTGAAAATGCTGTTGTGGCTGGGCTCTGTCAATTAATAGCTGCTTTACACTTTGACAATGCTTCTGTTCCTGTTTTGCAGCCTTTTGTGTTAAACAGAATTCTTAATAATTTTAATAATATTCTTCTTCTGTGTGCATTCCAGTGGGCTGAAATAAGTACTACAAGAGATCATGAAGAAAGAGGAAGCATGTGTAATACCCTGTTTTCTGATGAAAACAAGGAATACAAACTATATGAGGCCATAAAATTCATCATGCTCTATGAAGTTATCGAAGCCTATGAGCAGATAAAGAGCAGTGATGAACCCGTACACAACCTTTTTAGCCTTCTCTTTGCTCGTGACTCTTCATCTGACCCTCTGAGTTTCATGATGAATCATCTGAATTCCATAGGTGACTCTATTTGCTTAGACCAGGTAAGGATATAGATGAAAAATCATAAAACTTACTCCATCTCTGTAGTGATTAGGTGATTATATTATACATCATCCATGATAGCTGGCCCATTTTTTTTTTTTTTTGAGATGTGGGGAAGTGGACTGAGGATAGCCATTTATCTTCCAGGAAAAAAACCAAACTGTAGTAAGAGTGGACCAAAAATAAATGCTACAGATTATCAAGAAGACATAGTTTAGAACAATAGTAATTTTGATATGTAATAGTTTTAGATGATACTGTTTTGACCAGTTGTTTTGCTTTTCCTATCTGTTCCACCGTGCCAAATCCTATAGCATCACTCTCTTTTCTTCCCACCCTTTGGTTCTCATGAGATATAATGTCTATTATGAGTAGGTAATGAGAACTCTACTAATCACCTTTATATCTTAAGGTTTTTGTTTCCTGTTTTATAATTAGTGAGAAGTTCATTGCTGACATAAAAACTCCACACTGTAACTCTGCAAATGGTTTCACTTTCTGATGGCTGAAATTATTTTTTATAATCAATTTCAGTTATCACACCAATGTGATGCAGTCAGATTTAGGAGCAGTTTGATTATAACTGGACCAAGTTCTGCTATGTCTGGCTATGCCTAAGGATACGAACTTTACCCAAACCTTCTTTTTTCCTGATTAAAGCAATCTATTTCAAGAAGTATCAATGAAGATGCCCATTCTTCAGTTTCATCTATCTGATGTACCAAGATTTTTTTTCCTTTCTCTGTTTTCCATAGTGATCACAAGGTGGCAGGCTTCCCATTTTTTCAGGGTGTATCAATCTTGGTAACAGCTATTCCTTGCTTGCTCTCCAATCAGCTGTGTGAGCTGGCTTGGGAGCGGTTTATGTATGGTGTCAGCCAGAGGAGGAATGTTTCTACATGCAAAAGATAAGTGGAAGGGCTGGTGGGAATGCCTTCAAACTTTTAATGTTCTTACTCCAGTAGCAAAAGGGCCCTTTTTATTCTTTGTCTACTGTTTTGAAGCTAAATGACTTGCCTTAACTTGGATTATCTACAGTTAGTTTTCGAAGCCTAGAACTAAATAAAGAAATAAACTGATTTCTTTCATTTTTAGGTTGAACTGTTTCTTCTTGGATACTTACTACAAGTAAAGATAAGAGTTTACAGACTGCACAGATTTAATACTGAGGAATTTCAAGTAAAGTATCCGGATGAATACCGAAGGGAATGGAATGAGATTTCTCTCCTGACTGAGGATGACCGCTACTATCACATCCCCCTTTTCAGAATGTGAAGGACCAGTGACTTATTTTTCCCTTTGTATAGTATAGTGAATGACCAGTTCCAGTGAATTAGGTTTCTAATCAGCAGCAGTAAATTCCTAAGAATGCTCATTAATGATTACAAAATGGTTTATGGGTTTATTGTGTAAACATTTTGCTTTCCCATTGCAGCTCAGTTCACCATCAGTCAGCCATAAAAATTATAAAATATATTGCTATACGGTCTGAGGCAAAAGAATGTGATGTTTGAGGGCTGTCAGACAAAAAAAATTGGACTGCCTGACAACGAAGGCAAAGATTGTGCTAGGTTTTCTGTTGCTAGCCTAAGGGTTTACTCTGACATCCATGGATGGGTTAAACTCAAGTGCCTAAATCAATGACTGCCTTTCCCTACTCCTGTCTGTCACTAGCTATGGAGGATGAATCACAGAAGAAGGAAATACTGGGCTCCTAGTTTGTATTCTGTGGTATTTAAATTGGATTGACTGGGGAAGGGAGGATATAACCTGAGGCCTCTGCAATGGCTGCTTGAAATCCACTTGGCTTCCCTTGTTGCCGGAGCACCTCTCTCCAGGGATGGACAGAGCGAGTAGTGGCAGGTTGCGCGCAACTTTAGACATGGGAAATGGAGCTGTCTGCACCCAGTGGTGATCCCTGAAGGGGAAGAACTGTTCACACAGGGGGAAAAAATCAACACAGGAATACTGTGACAGATGAATGGAAGTTCTCCTGTGTAAGTGAATAAAGCACATCCCTTTCTCTAGGGTAAAAAGGGCAGTGTTAACAAGTAACACACAACAGAGTCACACCCAGTGGCTGCATATGGCTTTGGTCAACTTGTAAATCCTTTAAGGGCTGATTTCAATATTACCTGCCAAGATTTCCTTTGCAATTCATCTGAGAAGCTGTGCGTGGAATACAGGCTAAAACCACTGCATTTTCAGAAAATACTAAATTTTTATGCATTATATGAATTCAGCAGTGTTGCATATATATTTTATCCTCTGATTGTGTATTAATCTCCTTGCCTAAGATTGCTATCTTTAATTTAGACCTCTGTATTTGAAGAAGTCTGTCCAGGAAGGAAAATGAGATTTACCTTCCTACATGGAACATTTTGCTCAATTCTGTTTTCCAAAAGAATCAATATGTTTTGATTATTTCAAAATAAGGGACCTTAACTTGACAAAGTATTAGATCTTGCAAAATATTTGTGAAAAGCTTACAATGCCACAGTCTAATGGTTGTATTAAAGAGGGTGAGATTTATTAAGAAACAAAGCCTCTCCTTTCCTTATCCTAGAGGTATAGAGGGACAGGCAGGTTTGTTTTATTAAATCTGCAGGATAAAATGCAAGCCAGTAGCAAAAATGGGAAGAGGGCCTGCAGGAGCCAAAGTAGTTGCATGAGGTATCTTCATGATAATGCTTGTGGTTGGCGGAGTGTACTCAGTTCCTTTGTGTAAAAAAAGCTATTTTGCCCTTTATGCTCCTTTTATTTGTGTGTATATATGTATATATGTATTTATAAATACAAATGCCTTAGTTCTGTATTGTAGCTGTTTTGTTTCCTGAAAGTTTGAGTTCACTTCTATTGAATGATTTGTAGATTTTAATTAAGAAGGCTTGATAGCTGTAATAATTTCATCTCATCAAAACTAGCATAGCAAGTACTTTTATTTATTAAAGTTTTTTCACTGAATGAAATAATTTTCTTATTTTAGATTTGGTTCTGCTCTGCATGGGAGAAAGTTATAATACTTAAGTGTAGAGTATTGTTATCTGTTTTGCATCAACAGTAACATTTACAGTTATCAATAGACTTGTCTGTATTTTATTCTTGTTTTGGAACAAACAGACATACCATAAATAAGTATGTATTTTTGTAGTGAGCTTTTTAATGATTTTCATATTATTTGTGTTTAGTAATACAAAAGCATTCCAGCTGAAAGTGATAAATTGTGAAAATGTACATTTTTGTGATCTTGAGCATATTAATAGCAGGGAATTAATAAAAAATCTAAAACAGACAGTGGAATTTACCTTGCCAATTTGGATATTTGCATCTGAACCAGGTCACCTGAGCCAGGGCTTTCTGCCTTGTCAGTGGAAGGCAGACAGAGGGATAGGTCTCTAGAAGGGACTGGTTCTCTTCACTGACTGTAGTGGGAGCTGACAGTGATCAGCATAACTCTCTCTGCTCTAGATATTTGAAGTTAGGTGAGATTAATGTTGTCCCAAGAATCCGGAAAGGACATAAAGAAACAGATCTCCTGGCTTATCAGGAGTCAGCCAAGTCATGCCAGGAACAGAAATAGGAGATGACAACAGAGGAACTTCAGGTGAGGATAATCACAAGTCTTAGAGATAAATATAGAGAGGCTCCTAAGAAACACTGAGACAGGTTTGAGGCTGCACTGAGTTTTAACCAGTTCTCTGATAATATATTTTACATATGTATAAAGCAAAAATAAATATCTGTTTACATGTAAATAAATACATGCGTGTATATATATATATGTGTGTGGGGATGTGTGTATATAAGAAAAATACATTAAAAAGAAAATGATTCTCAATAAAGTGCATCTGAAACAAACTGGTACCTATGCAAGTGACAGGTGCTGCAGGATATTTTCCAGTCAGTGGCAGAGACAAATTTTCTGTTCAAATCTAGAAGCACACAGTCATTAGGAATATTTTCAAAAGCAGTGTTGTGGGCAGCTAAAGTCAGGATGCATTTCTTATTTACTACTTTTAGTTTAGCAAAGAAGAAGAAACCATACTGAAGCCTCAGAGTTGGCTTTGGATTTTCCCCCAGACTTGAAAATGTGTATTAAGAGTTCAACAGAGCAGCTGAAGAAAAGTCTGTCTTTTACTGTGATGGAGTAAAAAGTCTTGCAGTTTGAATGTCATCTTTTTAAAAAAACGGCATCTCAAAAAATGTATGAACCATATTCAGTATTTCATTTTAACTCCAAAAGAAATACTGTCAGTCCTCATTCTTCAGTTCTAACACTGAAATTTCTTCTTCTTCTCACTAAGTGACATTTGTGTTCACAGTATCCCTTGTGGTGTTAGTCCAATCCTGATTTTGACCAGGGATGGAGCAGGAAGCCTTGCAGAGGCTTTTTGAAAAATTTGTCAGAAAATATCCAAGGAGACCCACATGCCTCAGAGGCAGGAGGTGATGTACCTGGAAGGGAGAGGAGACAAATGCAGAAACTTCTCTCCCTGGGGCTTGGTTGATTTTCATCTCTCTTGATGAACCACCGAGCTTTGGGTCAGCTCTGTGTCAGCCATGGCCAGTGAGTGAGGAGGATGGCTGGAGCATTGCTGGAAGCTACGTGTGCTGAAGAGTGCTGCTGAGAGGGAAAAATGAAAAGCATGAAAGAAATATAAAGGGTCCCAGATGCTTTCATCTTCTGACATACCCCAGTTTTGCATAATTCTGAAATGCAAAGGGAATTATAGTTGTAGATAATTTTAGTGCCCTAGATGCATGTAATTTAGTAACAAAGCAAATGTTTCCTCTGAAATGCTGCCAGCAATTAGAAATTCTCAGTTTCTTGACAAGCATTAAAACCTGCAGCCTTTGAGTGGAGTTCCTTCTCCTCCTGCACTTCTAATTTCAGTCAAGGCTATAGAGTTGACCCTTTAAATTTTTTTTTCTTTAACATTTTTTGGGGAAACTGAGGGGGAAAATGTTAGGTTATTATCTAGATCTACACTTTTAAAAGCATATGCCTTTTTTCAGCTGTCTGGCTACTTCTACTTGTCAGTGAATCCTGGTACACCTTTTTCTTTTTGACTAAAAGGCCAGATAGCATGTATTGATTTTCCTAACAGAACATGATCAAATCACCCTCAACTTTTCCCTGGGTAAACTGAACAGGTAGCACTCATTCATTTTAAGGTTCATCTTCAGTTGATTCATTTTCAAATTTCTCCCACAGTGTGATTATCAATTCCTCCTTGTATTACAAATATTAGCACAAGGCTTAGCACTTCCATGAGTCTTGCAACAGCACTTTGTAAACATAAAAGTATAAAATAACTCCATTTCTGTCTAGCATTCCTGTCTCTACACCCAACAACTGCAACAAGATCTATCTGTTTATTATCAAAATTCCTGGGTTTTACCTGAAATATAAATGAGCATTTTCCACACTTCAAGGCAAAATCTATCCCTAAGTGCAAGGTTGGTCTGAGATGCCAAAGACAGATTTGACAGGCAGTGTTGTCAGCCAGTAAGATGGGTAGGGGAGCACCAAAAACTGACAGTATTTTAGGTCTGGGATGCCCCAAACCTATGGCCACTTCTCTACACACGTCTGGCTACAAACCATCAGGGTCTATTGCTGTTCTTAGGCCTGAGAGCAGTACATATGCAGTCACCTTATGTATTTGGTGTGTTTTGTATCTTTAGATGATTTGTGTTACCACAGGACCTTCCATGTAAATACCTGCAGAAACTCAGAAAGGGTAAATTAATATCAGGTAATGACAACCACATTTGCATGTCCTTGATGTGATATCACAAATCAGGATGACAATTGTTGTTTAGCTTATTCTATGATATGAGTAAGGAGATCGCAGATTAGGTTTGGATCTGGGTTTTTATGCTTGACTGATTGATTCCAATAAATTCCAAAGATAAGTGTTAGATAGAAAAATTATCTTACACTGGTATCAAAAAAGAAATACCTGAAAATTCAGAGAGACAAAGAGGAAGAAGAATCCAGAGGGGAAAAAACCCATAAAAACTAAACACACAAACACAAAAATACCCCAAAACTACAGCAAAAGAACCCCAAACCAATAAACATCAGAAGAATAATGCAAAAAACAACAGGTCAGTTACTTTTTGCCAGAATAGAGAATCACCACAGATGACTAGTTTTCCCAAAGGTAAAGAGAAACAGAAGCCCACTATAACTGTGCCACTCATCCTAGGCCTAAAAAAAGTATAATGACGAGGGATTGAAAGGATTTGCTCCAATGTTACAGAATTACCAGCATTTTTTATGTCTTTGCTCTCCCTACATTTCAAATACTGCAGGCTCCTGGACTGCTACACTCTTCAGGCTCAGTCTGGTGAATCATTCTCAAGTTACAAGGAGACTTCTTACCGGGAAGATTTAAGAAAGTAATAAAAATCTTTAAAGTGGAAACGCTCCTCAGGAAGCATAGAGATCAAAAAGTTTTCCAAGTCTTTCTACAAGACTCTGCAAACCTTGCTCCAGAGCAATTTGTCAGTAGTGAACACTGTAGATGTGAGGTGAAGATAGCCCTGTAACCAGACCAAACCCCTTGTCATGAGCTGGTGTTCAGCAAGGAGCAGACAGTTAAGAACTAGGAACAGAGGATCAGATAAGAGCATCTGAGTCTGCCAGCTCCAAATGATTGCAGATGATGACAGTTAAAAAATGGCAGAAACATACTGAAACTTCTTCCTTTCATAAAATTATCCTGTCTGAACAGGCTTTGGACATTTGTTTCAGATGGTTATAGAAATATTAGCTGCATGTAGCAATCAGGATTTTATCTTTAGATATTGTCCACACATTTATTCACATGATGTACAAACACCCAAAGTGAGCACCACTTGAAAAAGTACCTGTGGAACCATAATACTTATATTATTTTTTAATTATTATTTTGACGTAATTTCTTTGTTTGATGTGGCTCATCCCAATAACCCAACAGCTTTTAAATTAAATCTGTCCCAAAGGGAATGTTTCCTTACTATTTGAGCATGGTAGCTGCCTCTCTTCTACCCATAAAAGTACACAGCAACTTCTAAACCTGAAGTGAGAGATGGGACAGGGTACAGTAACTATTTGCTAGGTAAATATATATGCTCACTATCTTTTAAATGAGAATGATAAGCCCAGAAAACTGTAACTGTAAAAAAACAAATAGCAGAAAAAGCATTAATGTTTGAGACAGACTTGTGGAATATTTTGGTTTAATGTGATGAATGATAAGACCTTCAGAAAATGTCAAATTAGGAACAAGTGAGTTTCACTGCCCACAGCAAATTGTGTCTGTAAATAAAATCTTTGTTCAGACACTACATGAATCCCCTGGAGCACATACTTTAGTAATGGGAGCTATATGTACTTTATTTTCAATTTTTTTTTTTTTTTTAAGGAAGTAAGCTGCTGCCGAGACGCTAGGATTTAGTGCTACAGCCCTCCAAAGGATCTCTGCTTTAGGGATCTCTCTGCTCTATTCTAGTTCAATATATCTTATGGATCAGTTCAGCTTCCTATTGATACTTTTTTTTTTTTTTTAAACTGCAAATTTTCTGTATATATTGGGAAGGTTTAAGAACAGTACCATGATAAGAGTTTATGTTGTGGCTGAGACTGAAGGTCTCCTTGGTGGAAGCCAATGTATGTTGCCAGCTGCACTGAGAAGTCAGCAGCTTACACCATCCCCAAAACCAAGTGAAGTGCCACAGCTAGCAGAGGAGTAATGAGTGAGAGCTTCAGTAGCCTGGTCTTGCCTGTTGAGGAAGGCTGGTGCAAGATCAAGCTGGAAATGGAGATCTGCTTCTCATCAGGGAGCAAGGACCAAAGGCAGCTGACAGGAGCCACCATAAACAAGTGAGAGTCTAAGGAGCTGGTCAGCTGGAAAGTAGCTGCACAGCGGGAATAATTACATTCCTTGTTCCAAGCAGGTATGTGCAAGGGCAGCCACATCCAAGCAACTCCAAAGGCTTGTTCATTAAGTAGACTTATGAACATCAGCTGAGATGGATTTGTTCCAATTGAGTGGATTGAGTTCACTTGATTAATGAACTGAAAAAGATCATGAGGCTGATCTGTTGACTTATTAGAGCAAAATACCAGTTCTATTCCCTTTTATAAAACAGTGACATGGACAAATTAATTTAAGCATTGTAATAAAAAATCCTTAGCTTCTTGATTTTTGATACTAAAATACAATTTTATCATGCTCTGAGATTTCTTTGAGATGTTTCATTAGTTCAGTAACCCAACGTAATGTTGCTTCTCTTGATGTCTTGACCTTAATGGCACACTACTTCACGAAGTACATCTGACTGCAAGGGACACCTCTCATTAGATTTTCAGTCAGGCTTTCCACCTGCATAACTGATGAGAGCTGTCTCTCTGTGCTCCTTGGTAAGTGTGCAGATGAGCTTTTATTACATGACCTGGCAAATGTGATGGATGCAGACATGTCAGAGTCCTTGGGCAAAATGTGACAACTCACTCACCACTTGACTTCACCTTGATCTCTTCTCCAGTCAGGCCATATGGTGGGTTTGCTTATTACAGTTCATCTTTCATTTTCTTTGTTACTAGATTAGATTAGGGTACATTCATGACCATAAAAATGCAAGCAACTTTTGCAGACTTAATGTAAAAAATGGAACAGTAACTCTAATTCTAAAATTTATCTTTAAACTTAAAGAAAAATGAATATTCAATCAATCAATAAAGGAAATACATGCTTGATACTATGGGT